ATCTTCAATCTATCTGCATATCTCTTCTTCTATTATTTGCCGGGCTTATATACTAAAAGAGGGCGTCCCGAACAAACTAGGAAATTTACGATCATTCGAGAAACTCCTCACACACTCCATCAGCGCCAATACGCCAGCAGCGTCACGTGACTTCCGCTGTCGTACCAATATGTCAAATACTTTTCAATTTAACAAAGTCTCTCAGCCCGTTACAGATCATCACTTCTATCTTAAATAGATTCGCCATACAGGGGAAAATGATAATAAAAGTAATTTACCTTTTGTTAGTAGTTTTTTTCACAGAGCCTTACTCAGACGAGTATCAGGTGATTCCAAAACTCTCTTCTTTCCACTATTCGAGTTCTACCTCCATATCAACCACTTTCGCATATTCCCTACATCGAACCGAAGGGGTATCGGGTAGAACAGTTGTTGACAGTGAAAAATCGCTAAGTAATTGTCTCCAGCATTTGTGAACGTTAGGTACTGTTTCTTTCTTTTTTCTTTATTTCATGACATACATAATACGGCTCAATCTTTGACAAACATTACTAACCTTTGTTCAGCGGTATAATTTTTCAGGCTTATACTTTTTATAGTATATTGTTACGACAGCGGAAGTCACGTGACTCTAGTAACACGTTATGAGGTTCTAGAAGGATCATGTCTGTTCCTGGCATCTCAAGTCTTTTCTACGCGCCCTCTATTTTTGTATATATATAAGCCCGGCAAATAAAGCGGGGGAGAAGTAACGGCATAGATAAGGGCAGATAGGGAGATATAGAAACAGATAGTCGAGTCGAGTGAGCGGTAGTGACCGTAAATAAAGTGCGTGAATCGTTGTGAATTATAGCGTGTGTTTAAGTTAAAGTGACTGTGGAAATTCTGTGTATTGCAAAGTTGTGTTGAGAAAGAATAAATTAGTTTTATTTAAGAAAGGACTTGTATCTTCGGAAAGAATTTTTACGGGAAATTAACAAACGACCAGAGACGTAACAATATATATATACAGGATTTTAACTAAACTGTCGCATATTATTAGAGTACAAAAAATAAAATAAAGTGAGTTGAGTAACTTTACGTCTGCCTACTTTAATGATTAACTTTTTTCGGGTATCCTCACTGTTAAAACTTTGTTGCTTTTTTAAGTCGTACTCCAGTTCCGATTCTTTTGCTACAAACTACCATTAATCTATTATAAAAATACTTAGTTTTTAAGAGTTTCGTTTTGAGTTTACTTACTGATTAAGTATTATTTCATTACAAGCTACAGATTTTACTGTAAGGAAGGTTATTTTTTAGAACAGTTTTTGTTTGTCCTGAAAATGCCGCGCATCTTACTATCTAAACGTCCACGTGTGCGGACTTTAACAGATTGAACAAAAGGCGAATGTAATATACTTTAGTAGACATTTTGTACAACATATTGTTACGACAGCGGGAGTCACGTGACGCTGGTAACACGTAATGCGTTCTAGAAAGATCGAGGAACATCACGAATAATCCAATATTTGCTAGGCGCCCTCTATTCTTGTATATAAGTGCGCCAGACC